GGCTCCGTCACCCTCAGAGTGAAGAAGTTCTTCCTCGTGTTCAGATGGAACTTCCTGTGCCTCAGTTTGTGCTCATTGCCCCTTGTCCTGTTGCTGGGCACCACTGGAAAGAGTCTGGCCCCGTCCTCCTGACCCCCACCCTTCAGATATGTAGAAGCATTTCTAAGGTCCCCTCCCAGCCTTCTCTTCTCCAGGCTAAACAAGCCCAGCTCCCTCAGCCTTTATGACGTGGCCCAGCTCGGTTTTGCAAATTATTTGGGTTCCCAGCAGATACCACGTGCATCTCCTGCTGCTCAGGCTCCGTTGCGTTGAAATCCTCCCAGCAAAGCCAGGTTGCTGGGTTCCCACTGCCTTGCTGGAGGGGAGGGTGTAGCAGCAGGCGGAGCGAGGGTCCTGCCTGCACCCTGCAGCTGGGGCCACGCTTCTGGTCTTGATGGAGTGGTGGGGAAAGGACAGGCACGCCATGGCCATCACTGAGCCCTGCCTCCCTGCTTGCTCCCAGCCCAACAGGGACGGCCTCCCGGAGCTGGTGGCCGGTGGACTCTTCTACTGCCTGGGCATGGTCTTCTTCAAAAGCGATGGCCGCATCCCCTTCGCCCATGCCATCTGGCACCTCTTCGTGGCCATCGGAGCTGGCATCCATTACTACGCCATTTGGAGGTACCTCTACCGGCCCGGCACGCTGGAGGTGAAAACATCCCGGTAGATGCCTTGAGGACATCGTTTGCGCCAACCAGCACGTGGGGGCAGCCGCCGGCGCCCTTCCTGCGGGGACAGGAGAGCCTGGAGGCTGATTTTAAACAGATTTTTCTTTTTTAACCTCGGGAACTGTTTGGGTTTTTTTTAGGCAAAGGTTTGGTAACTGGTGGGCTGCGGGGGAAAGGGGGCACCTCAGCAGCCCCGCACCACCCGTGCTTGGCTCCTAAACGGCCCTAAGTCCTGTCGGCATTAACCGCCCCCTCCCAAGTTCTTGACGGGAAGGTCCAGAGTCAACAAAGCCTTACATGGGATTGAAACTTGAATCTCTTCCAGGGGTCCCCGGAGTCTGGAAGACCCTTTCTCTAAGCCAGTATTAAGTGCACAACTCAGTACATCCCCCCAGATGGGCCCTCGGAGCCGTCATGGACATTTTCTCCCTGGGGTGCTTTGTTTTCCTCTCTGACCCCGGAGCCGCCGGCAGCCCCGCAGCACAGCCCCGCTCCCCGTCTGCCGCACGCGTGCCTTCGCCTGGTGGGGAGCACGGGGGGATCCGGCTCCTGGCATCCGCCTGGCTGGGGTCAGCCCACCCGCATCAGGGGACTGTTCTTTCTCCTCGAGGGAGGGAAACAAACCTCCTTGGATTGGGATCACGGGGCTGCCTGCCTTCCCCGCTCCCATTTTGATGATGAGCCGTTTGCTCAGCATCAGATTTAAATCCACTTTTGGGAGGATTTCTGACATTCCTGGGAATGCCACAGGGAAGGGACGCAACCGTGTGATGCTCAGAGGTGAGCTGTGATGGGGAGGTCCTGGTGACACTTGGATTTCAGACCCCTAACCATGGCTACGCAGTGCTCTCCCAGCCATCAGGATCAGTCCCGATGCTGCTGGAATGGGAAAACCACACCCGCTCCCACTGTCCAAACATGTCGGCAGAGCTGCTGGAGCCGGGAAGCTCTGGT